AGGATAAAGTTTAATGTGCCAAAGCATTTTAGATTGTATTTATTGAATAATGCCATATTAGCTTTCTTAGATTAAAAAAAATCTATGATATATAAAAAAAGAATATATATTTTTATTATTAAATCAGTACAAAAATTAGTTACTTTATGTATGACATTATTCACCCCAATATAATCATTTGCATTGATTTGAGATTTTTTTTTTCTAACTCTCAAGAAAAATTCAATCATGATTCCTTTATGAAATCCTCTAAGAAAATTTATCTCTCTTTGAAGCAATTTTATTACTTAAGATTGACTGCAAAAATCGATCATATCATATCAGTAGTTTTTTTTTTTTCCTTAATCCCTATCCCAAATAACTAAAATAAAAAATAAAAGAAGATATTAAAAATAGTTCACACTTCTTTGGTCGGTGGAGAGAGAGAGAGAGAGATAGAGAGATTCACGTTTAGTCCTTTGTGCGAAATCCATAATCTCCATCCTTCCTCTCCTTGGCTTCGTGAGATCCTTCCCGGTCGGGCGATTCCGCTCCCATCCCTATGGAGGAGGCGCAAGGTACCATTTGCAGCGTTGTCGTCGTCTATGCCGATGGATTTACTCGTACCCTCTTCGCTCCTCTGCCTTGCGCGACACGATCTGCTTCGAGTTGCCGCCTTTCCGGATCCTGCTGCTGGATCTTTGCATAAAGATGCGGACTTTCCGATTGTGAAAGCCAACACTTTTCCGCGTGCGGGTTCGATTTGACGTTTCTTTCGTTGTTGATGGTGTTGTTTGTAGAGTCGAGGGATCTATCTCTTTTTCGGCCGGATTATATTCTACTTTCTTTCCGCTACTCTTTTGGGAGTCTTGATTCGTGTTCTCGTCTTCTTCGCCGGTTTTCCTGCCTTGGACGACAAGATCTGTTGCATCTGGCTGGTTCCGTCTTCTTCTTCCTTACAATCCACGGTGGTTCTTGATTTATGGGGAAATTGGACCGATAATTGTTGTTCTTGGTTGATGTTTTTTCGAAGAAAGATACGTTTTTTGCTCGTAATCGCTGTTTCTGTATATACAGTGGTTTACTTCATGTCGAATACTTTACATACACACACACACACACACACACACACACACACACACACTAGTACTGTGGCCAATCCGTTCTTAATGGGCGTCTCCATGTCTTTTGGCACGTCGAATCTTTGTCCAGGGGAAACTCTCTGCAATCTGTTTATGTTTGCTTTCTATTTCTGAATGTGTTGTTTTTCTCTTTTTCCTAAACTTCATTTTGAGATTTGGGCATGGAATGACATAAGTAGTTAGTGATCTTCATATCTACAGTATGTTTATTATCTCCAAACTTGTTCTTGGATTTCTCATTGATTATCTATGCGTAATCTTTTAGTCGAAATAACTTCATCTGGGTAGTATGATACTGAATTTATTTCTAATGTTTATTGTATTTATGAGAAGAATTCGTAGTCTTCATGTGATTACAGTCTTTGTTTGTAGGAATTTTATCTGCCTTCCACCAACAATCTGTTGTACGAACATGTCATATTTGGATAATCAATGAGGACATAGTTAACATGGATTGAGGCTTATTGTTCTTTTTCCTTTGTGCATTTTGGTTCCAGTGGTGGAGTCAAAAGATGGGACCATCTCTGTGGCTTCTGCATTCGCTGGTCACCATGAAGGTACTTGTGTCACTTTCTAGCTATAATTGTTTCCAATGCCTTCTTTTGGTTGTACAATACCAAGTATGGAATAAAAGATATTCTTGATTTCTTCTCTTTTTCTTTTTTGTTAGTGATCTGAGTATTATTTTGTTCCCATTCCAATGCTTGTTTCAACCAGCTGTTCAAGATAGAGACCATAAGTTTTTATCAAAAGCTGTTGAAGAGGCATACTGTGGAGTTGAATGCGGCCATGGAGGCCCATTTGGTGCAGTTGTTGTTCGTAACGATGAGATAGTTGTTGGTTGCCACAACATGGTGCTGAAGGACACGGATCCTACTGCTCATGCTGAAGTGACCGCAATAAGGGAGGTTAGTACATCAGTCGGTTCACATTTCTTTTATATTGTCTATCTTCATGTGATCCTTGAATTTATGATACAATGCAGTAACATATTCAGATGTAATCTATGTAACTGTCTTGGTTTTCTTATATTCTGTGTAAGAAACTGATAGTTTGGAGGGCAACTAAATAGTCTTATTTCATAAGGTAAATGTGGACTGTTCATATACAGTCTGCATTGCCGTTGTCTAACAATGTGAGCTTTAGTATTTTGGACCTTGTTGGCATGCTAATTTGTATTGACTTTCCAGGCTCCTGGGTTTTAAATTGTTAAAGAATCTGTCAGATTATGTCTCCTCTGTGAACCATGCAGCATAACTTGATGCATCTTTTTCTTGATGATGCATTCTATAGGCTCAAACCGGTAAAGAATTTTATTTCAATTAAGGATTGCATGGATCATGATACAGATCTTTAATTGTTCTCCTGGAAGTTGTTGTTTCTTTTTCAGATAATCATCTGATCTACATTTTTCCATGAATGACATTCTGTTTTCAAAAGAAAATTCAAGCTGGTCACAAGGCATGCTTAAGAGTTACCATTATGTGGATATTAAGATGATTCTTTGCTTATCTTATTAAGTTCATTTGAGAATTTAGGAATCAGAATAGTTCATAAATTGCTTCTGTATGTTAGTAAAGAATCCTGAAAAACATAAAAACAAAAGGAGATCGGAGTTGCTAGAATATTTCTGTTCTGAGAATGTAACCTTTAAGTGGTATTCATGTAATGATTTATAGCTTGTTCAAATAGGTTTTTATTAGTGATGGATATCTGTCTACTTAAGGTCTAGGTTTGAGTTGCTAGAAAGTTTTAGGCCTGGTGTTTCTGTATTTTTTTCTTTTTTAGGGTTTCTCCATCCATTTGCTGGTTTGGTAATAAAAGTTGTTCTTGACAATAAGAGGTTTGTCACTGTATGCATGTTACCTTGGTGGCTCACATAGCTGACCTTAATATCTTCGAGAGAAGTCTTAAACAGGCTCAGAAACCTCATGAAAGAATAGTTCAGCTGGAAGGGACAACTTTTTTCTTCTCTTTTCAGATTCTTAGGCCAAAACAAACTGAGACCCATGTATTGTTCCTCCCAAAACCCACAGTAGATGGAGCTGGAGACATTGGGCCATCCTTTTTTGCCATCTTAATATCGTGAGGCACTTGGGAGCAGAGTTCTCAGTGGTCTGATGATGAAAACACAAAAAAAGGGACAGCAGCTGTTTTTCCTTTTCTATGATGTCAATTTACTTTCTCCTCTTACCTCTACTTCTCTAGTATGTTTCATGTTACCCATGATCTGCTCAACATCAGTGATTATGTTTTTCCATTCCAAATTTGATATCGGCTGATTAGCTTCGAGCCAACAACCTGTGCTGGTGTACTTTCTGACGTAAGCTTGATTTACCAATGATGATGTTCTGGACCTAAGACATTTTGGGGTAGCAGTCAGCTGCATCAATTTTCTTAGAGGTTTAATTTCTGGTTAAAGCATTTCTGAGTTAAACCTTTTGAGGAGTTTTGCTTAGTAACTTGATATATGAACTTTCCGGATTTAATCTTGAGCACTTAATCTTAAAGTAGCCAATGGTCACTTATCGAGACCCACAGCAAGCGATCAGCCTGATAATCTAGGCTTGAACTATGGCTTTGTCTGGAGAAACTTGAGAGTAAGCTTGTTTTACATACATCATTTTATGTTGTATTACTTTTGTTGTTTCAGGCTTGCAAAAAGCTCGGGAAAATCGAACTTGATGATTGTGAGATATATGCTTCCTGTGAGCCTTGTCCAATGTGCTTTGGAGCAATTCATCTTTCACGAATTAAGGTGGCCAATTGTTCGTTTATGTTCTTCTGACATTTTGAATTCTAGGTGATTTTTGCTTATCCGATTCCCCTCAAAATGCAGAGGCTGGTATATGGTGCAAAGGCAGAGGCTGCCATAGCTATTGGATTCGACGATTTCATCGCTGATGCTCTGAGAGGTACTGGGTTCTATCAGAAGGCTCATCTGGAGATCAAACAAGCCGATGGCAACGGAGCGATCATCGCTGAACAAATATTCGAGAAAACCAAGGAGAAGTTTCAGATGTACTAAATATCTTAGGATGCCAGGCAAAAGCATTAATATTTCCTTTCCGGTCTTCTAAATGGAAAACAATGAACAATCTCGACAAACTTCCTCTCTTGCCAATGCTGATGATACTCTTTTAATCAATCGATAGCTCTACTCTTTAATCAATCAATAGCTCATTTCAATGCGTTTTCATCTGGTGTAGCTCTCTTGTAAACCTCTCACGAACTCCCACTGGTGTTATACAGGTGGAATTTTTCTGTGTTCTGCGATAACTCGAAGGTGTTATTTGATTCGTAAACCTTGAATATCATGTTATTTGATTCGTAAACCTTGAATATCATGATACATTGTGCTTGGTACAAGATGGAAACTGCGACAATGTTATGGTGTTGGATTGTATACCATCCTTATCTGACAGGGGCTACAAAGATCTAAACCAAATCTTGACAATGTTATTGTGTAATTAGATTCACTCCCAGGTCTCCTCTTGATGACTATCCAACATCAGGTAGAAACTTGGCACTTGCGATCAAGCTTAGCGCTTAATTAGTTTATAAGAGTTGGGTGTATCATCATTAACTTAAGTATAATCATTTGTTTAAATTCAATAGCAAAAGAAGAGTTGGAACTTTGATGAGCATACTATCATAAATTTGGACTTGTATCTAAATTTCACAACAAAAGAAGAGCTGAGCTTCCTGGTGTCAAGATAATAAATAACTCTGGCAAAAATTGGAATTTGTTTTCTTTGTTTCTTTCGGAAGTATCGATTGCAATTGGAATGGAAACATCACTCAAATCCAACCACAACAGACATATTCCAAGCCTCACTTTTCAAGATTTTACTCGGACAAAAAAGAAAAGAAAAGAAAAGAAAAGAAAAGAAAAGCAATCACAATGAAAAAAAGGACACCAATTTACATCACTCATTCACTCGAATTCTATAGCAAGGATGGAGGCAAGAGCAGCATGCTCTCTGGAAAGGAAGACTTCATGCTCTTTGCAACTTATTATGACAAGAAAAGAAAGCAATACCAGTCTCAGCTGGAAGTTAAACACAATATGTCAACAGATAAACAAAATAAGCGCATGTATCGGAGTTATTTCTACTTGTATGCAGTGCCTGAACAAGGTTAGCGTGATGCCAGATCTCCCAACACACTTCTCAGGCAGCTTGGACCAGATTGCAGCAGTCAAAATGGTTAGCAGTATAGCAAACTGATGATTGGTAGGGGTTTCTGAGTGATTCACATAATTCTGGAGTGACTAGGTTCGAAAAGCCTTCGATGTAGGAACACTTCCATGGATGCTTTGAAGTCACATTAAGGTGGACATTGGACAAGCAAATGCTGTTGAAGTTATCCCCCTTGATTCCCTCTAATGTGCCAGCATGCTTGATAACTGTTCCCGAAACATCTTCGATGGTGATCATGTCTATAACTGGAAGTGCATTTGGATCGTAGTTCTCGTCTGGATGCTCACCATACCGTCCCGTTATCCCGATCGCTGTCTTGACATTGGTCATTATGACATTGGAGATGTGTATGTGCCGAACATACCCACCGCGTCCTGGGGACGTTTTTATCCTGATGCCATACAATGAGTTGAAGAGACAGATGTCCTCTGCCCGCACATTTGATATGCCGCCAGACATCTCGCTTCCTAAGGCAATGCCTGCACCTGAATTGGCCTCGCCAACAATGTGCCGGATGCTGATGTTGGAGCTTGGTCGAGCAAAGGAGATGCCATATTCATCCCATCCACTTTTGATAACAATGAGATCGTCACCGGTGCTGATGTAACAATCTTCGATGCAGACATTGTCAGATGAATCTGGATTTATTTGGACAGCTATTAATGAAACATGGCACATGGACAGATTATTAATCAGATTAAAGAAAACAAGTCAAATATATGGAATCAAGAAAATCATATGCGTATAATACATAGAATACCGCCATGGGTTTCTCATTTTAGTAGTCAACCTTGCAATAGATCTTGATGTCTATCTGAAAGCGATATTTATGATTTACAGAAAAAGCAACACTATAGAATAACAATACTGATGAATCTAAGAATATAAATTTAGCTACTGCTTTACTAGACATCTAAAACTCACGTCTACATTTGAAAATTTACAAAAGCCCAAAACACATAAGTCTTTCAACAATCCTTCATACTGCAATTACAAAGCTACTTTCTCAGCAGTCCATCCTTGCTGAGAAAAACTGATTGACAACAAGGTATATTTGCAAGCTCATCCACTGATGATAATATGTTAGCAGGAAACTTATATTTGCGGTATTTGTGATAGAAGCTCAAAGAAGCACTTGGATATTGAGGATCAATAAATTAAGCTATATTGCAGGAATGAATGCACAAGCTTGTCATTAAGGTTCCACGAACGCAATGATTTAAGGCATATCGACTTCATACATGGAGCATAGTTAATGGAGCTGATGATGCATTTGAATCCTTCACCTTGTTTCTGAACTCTAGAGACAATTACTTGGTTCATAGCTAATTCCTTATCATAAGTGTGCTTTGTCATGCCTGTTGCTTATAAAGATTACTATGAACATGACTTGTGGGACTGGCTAAACTTGATTTGATTTAGCTGACATTAATCAAGACCAATCCTGAGATTGGTGAAGTCCATCAGTAAAAATGTCTGATCTTTCGATAGGGTGTTGGGATCGGCCACAGTCAAACTAATCTTGGGTCAATCCTGCCAACCCTTCGATCAATTGGTCCAACCAATCACTGAAGTCATTTAAACCAAGTCCAACCTATACCAGTCAAGTCCTAGTCACATCAAGAAGAACCCTATCCCATAATCTGATGAAGTTGTATGCCAATTGTATATCCTATGACTGATCCATGCCTGATCCATCCAAGCAAACCTTTTATTGGATCATATGGAATTCCATCTTCCTATTAATTTGACTATTATAGAGTGCACAAGGATAATGTTAATCTGCCGATTTCCACACTGGATTTGTTCAAACCATTTCGTTTCAAGTTTAGACAGTTGATCATCATAAATTCCGAACGAGATCATAAACAGGATAGTAAATTAGGCCTTATATTAAGAGCCAGAGTTTGGAATAATGGGTCTCTTCGTATTCTATTCAGAGCCACAAATTATGAAGTTATGAAACTAGAGTATCAGCAAACTCAAAATTTGGCAACTAGATAATGTTAAACAAAAAGAAAAACCAGTTTCACCAGATAAAACTGTCAGTAATTAGGTATAAACATCTTTATCAGAACATCCCTACTTCACGTTGATACCGAATAATGCAACCACAATTCAAGCTTTTAAATTTTCGGCTTACCGGGATCGATCCCATCTGTGTTTGGTGAATCAGGTGGAGCAAGAATTGTGACATTCTGGACGAGCACTTGGCTGTTAATCCACTAAAAATCAGTTTCAAGTCTCCCCTAGCACATGAAGCTCCACTCGAGCATCAATGTAAAGAGCTAAGAAGAGAAATAAATCAAAACCCTAGGAGGGACAAACCTGCAATATACAGGGTGGATGGCCCAAAACGGTGAGTTGATGAAAGTAAGATTTGAGATAACCACTCCTTTTGAGTACATCAGTTCTATGAGATGCGGTCGAGTATAGTTCAGAGTGTGGTTGTTAAACCACTCCCACCAAACACAGCCTTGGCCATCAACAGTCCCATTGCCACCTGGAGGAAGTTGATAGTAAAATCAGTATAATGATTATACAGTATACCATAGTGAGTCCTGGCCATTTGAATGCTGAAACTGGACCGCTGCAAAAGCATCCAACAGGAACTAAGAAAAGGTTGTCCTAGCATAACATTCGATAAGATGTCAATTGCTCCGTTGTGACTTAACAGATAACCACTACACAAAATTCATTTGATATATATACCTGTTATTATTACGTCTGTCAAGTTGGAACCATGTATAAGGCTTTGATGCCTTCCACCAGGCAGCTCCCTGCCTCGGCCATATGAAGGCAATGGATCAATGACTGGCCAATCAGAAGAATCCTGTATGAAAACGTCACAGATCAGCTTCCAGTTCATCACATGCAATCTTATATGGCAAAAAGAGGGTAAAATATTGCTCCGATTATGAGAGGCATGATATGGCTAAACTGAACACAGATACAACATAATTCAGACAACCTTCATCAACACGAACAAATTTTGAAGCTTGCTGTTTCGGATTCAACATCGAGGAGACAGCTGCTACAAAAGCCTAGTAAAACAGTGGGCTTGCAAACAAAAAGCAAAGGCAGTGCGGGCGCATGACCACTAAGAATTGTAGACTCTTATGTACCCAATACTGCAAATTTGAAGCATTCACTCACCATGGATCCAATTATTACTGCATCCTTGTCCAGCGATAAAGTGAGATGGCTTATGAGACTAAAACTCCCCGTCAGCCACTTTCCAGCAGGCACAAAGAGCTGCGCCCCACCCTTATCAGCGAAAGAATGGAGATAAAAGATAGCATTCTGAAATGCTTTGGTATTTAGCGTGATGCCATCACCTACGGCACCAAACTCTGTTACACTGACACTGTGTGGTCGGTACGTGCTTGATCCCATCTCCTTGCAGTATGAGCCAGGCAAGGCAGCCCATGAGGACTCACCGATAATTGCAAGAATCGTAAGAATCTCGAGTAGCTGAGTGGAAAATACATAGGTTAACATTCAGATCAATCTCAAAATCAGATCAAATTTTAACAATTAAAAGAAAAATATGTAACACACATCCTTTATAATGTGCACTTTAAGAATGAGGCCCAAGATATTTCTGTTTCTCCATGATCCGATTAGGTAAACTAGTTCTCCAGAACCCAATTGTGAGTCTCAACTTGAATTAGCAGAATCAACTAGAGGAAACCTTGAGCAATTGTCCTTTAAAATGAGATCTTACGTATTACGGAAGGTGCAATTAAGCGGTTCAATTCAAATATCGGTCTACAATCATCGCCTTTCAGAAACCAAGAAATAAAAAACCCGAGGGAGGGAGTATATTATTTTGATCTGAGATCAAGAATTATAGATGACAACGAGGGAAGATAAAATCACGTATCATAATGTCTACTGGCATCTCGTGAGCAATTTGAGCCACACTCGTATCACAAAGAGAATTTATGTATCGATCAAATTAACAGAAGTAAATGGAAAAGAACACCAAAATGGGACCAAAGAAACAAATGGATCGATCAATAAACAGATACAAACGTATGCAAATAATGACATTATCAAAACTCACCTGGTTTTCTACCAACTAGCACTTATACAGGTTGGTGAATCTATCAATCAAATTACTAAAACAATGTGTAGCATTAAAGGGAGGAGATAAGTTCCGCTTGAGAGCCTACCCTATATCGATCCATGAGAAAGAAGGAACAATATTGCAGCCTAGCAATCTACAAGTCCAGATAAGGATTCTTCGACAAAAAGGAATTCTATTCCTTCTGATAGAGCGTAATGGCTAAAAAACAGGATCAAAAATCATAAATCCAATCTGCATCTAATATCAGAACCACGAGTTATGCACAATATCATATCATTAATACAACAATAAATCAAATCAATTATAAGATAAGACAATTTCACCATGCAGAATATGGATCAGGAAAATTGGAACTTTCTTTTGCTTCGTTCCAGGAGTTGATGGTTGGGGTTGCAGCCAACAAACAATATTGGTAAGACGACAAGAAGAAAGAAAGAAAGAACAGATTAAGAAATAAAAAGAAGTGTGTTTTTAGTCACAGATCTCTATATGTCGAACCACATTTCGGTGTTAAAATAATACTTACAGAGAAAGCACAGAGAAATGGAGCATCAGAAACTAAGATCCACTAAGAAGGAACCACATTGGTGCGCTCAACAATTGATCTGAAGACATTAAGAAAATAGGAATCCAAGAAGAAAGCGAGGAGGAAGAGAACCACGTACAGCTTTAGATCTCTTCATATGACCGGGCTCTGATCTCCCCAAAGAAGCAAAGCAAGAAGGATCTACCGAGGCCGAAGGGAAAGCACCTCCAACACCCTCGAGGGACCTCCGGTCGATCTAAATGATACGATCACCATCAAGTGGAAGTGGAACCTGAAGACCAATCCCACCACCAACCTAAAGGGGGAGAAATTGCAAGAAAGAGGGGAAAAATCATGACACTGTCCTTTCTAAAGAACAAGCGGTCCTTGTCCACCACCTTTTGTCTTCAGCTGCTCCCTCCCTCTCTTCCCGGACAAACCACCCTCATGGCTCTACTGTGCCTTCCCGAGCTGCCTCAAACCCACTGCGAATTGGAGCAGACCAGGTTGGTTTTGGTGTCCCTGTGGGCAGAGAACTCCCATGAAATCACGGGAATGAAGCTAAGAGTTCTGCCCGTGCTGCTGCTTCTGCTGAGTTCTTGTAAGTTGATTGGCTACCTCACTCTTTTAAGACTGCTTTCCTCTGAAACCATACTCTCTCTCTCTCTCTCTCTCAGCCTGAGGGAGAAACATATGTCATTTCATGAAAGAATTGGCTTGGTCAGTTACAGTTTGGAAATCTGGCAAACCAAAACCCGGGGAAGAGGGCAGATTACAGCCAGCTGAGGAGCAGTGGGAAAGGGTCAGCAGTTCTACATGGCCGGTCATTGCCTCTTGGATTCCAGTGACCAGAATACCCGTGAAGACTCCCATGAAATGACCTTTCAGCCCTCCCCTACCTCGCTTCTCGTGTACGGTTAACGTCTTGTCATCTTCTTGTCAAACAGTATCCCATAAAGATTGGATGAACTCTTTATGTCACAAACAATGGCTTTCAGTCAGAGTGAAGCAGTCTGATTCTTTGGATTCAATTCCACAAACTTCGTCTTGCCATCCAAAACCAAGCAAAATTTAGTATAGAATAAGAGAATTAGCCGAAAGGGAATCACTTACCAACATTTGTGGAGGCAAATCTTCTGCAGAAGGACAGTAGGACTAGTTGAGTCATTCCAACTGGGACTACTTTGAGCATTAAGACCATGATGAAGTACGAGCTTAGCAATCATGTTCTCCCTCTTTATGGCTAAATTCTCAATCAAGCAAAGCTTGCACATGGTTCCAGAGCTGGACCTGTCCTGCTCGTAACTTGGAGCAGGGAGAAACTTGTTCCCACACCTCGGTCGAACTTCTTGGTGATGAGAAAAAGGAAACCATCATCACAGTGCACTAAAAAATCCGATTCAATCCAAATTTTAATTCGATGGCATATTAACAGAATGAATGGCATGCATGAAGACGTGTTTCTTTCTTAGTGCGAGTTCAGATCCAGAATTCTTCTGCCTTCTGGTGAGCAGTCTCAGCTGACGACAAGGACAACATTTCTGCAGTGCGCTGCAGTGGCTTACCTACACTTCTCGACTGCGGCAGGGGCAGCAATAACGTGCTCTCAGTAGGCACATGTATCTGCCACCAGCTGCATCAGAGGGAGTACATAACTCGGAGAAGAATCCGTGCTTCGTGACAAAGAAGAGACTTCCTTTTACACTTGGAAAATAATCACCGGGCGTTAATGAAAGATTAATGTGAGGAAACAGCTTCGGTTTCTTCTCAGTTCTAAGCAAAGGCCGGGCGTTGGGAACAGAGATTCTTAGGAGTTAAAAAAGGATTGGAAGGTCTAAAAAGGGGTTGGGGGGAGGGGGAGACAGGGATGGGAGGGAAAAGGACATGGAAATAAAAGGTGCTGCCTGCTCTTCCCTGCTGCATCACCGTAGAGTCCCCCAGCTTTGGAATCCAATGTCTAAGCAAAAATACCATAGTTTTTTTCTTGATGTATAAGAATGCCATCCTCTCAACCCTTCACCGGACGAAGACATCATCTTGTCGTTGGTAGAGGAAGAGAGAGAGAGAGAACAGTGAGGGACTGTGTGAACAGTGGGATCAATGATTTGGTTGCATTGTGGGAGCATCAGCGGGGAGGGAAGAGAGCTACCGAAAATGCTTGCCCTGTTGGGTGTGAGCTCTCTCATCAATGGCTGCCATGTGAGTGGGCGAGGGCCCGCCGGAAGCGACATGGAAATGCCAACGCCGTTGCTCTCTCCTCAGCTGCAGGGTGGGAGCTTTAATGAGGAGGAGTACACCATGAAGGCTACCTGCCATGGACCTACGTAATTATGAGTACAGCTAACTCGTTACCTGCTGTGCTCAGGAGAGCTGTCGGACGCACTCCGCACATCACATGCCACACGTTGCCCACCTGATGAATCTTGAGCCGTCCATCAGCATCCTCTCGAGCACAGTCGGATTCTCAAATTCCTTATTCATCAAGTAATTCAATTTACTGATTCCTAATAAAAAGATAACAAAAATACTTACCAATCTTAAAGCAATTCATGGACCAGTGATGGATTCTTGGTCAATGTTTTCCTCCTCACCTTGATTCGTCATGGATGATGACTTCATGGAGCACCAGACTGCAGGAAGTCTCAGCCACAGAGAGATCAAGAACCAAAAGAACTCACTGAATTAGCCAAGTTGATTCAGCTACTAGAATCCTTTTACGAGCATTCAATCCATTAGTTGGTGTGGATAAACAACAGACAGCATTTTGATGTGCAGGAATAATCACCTTCAAAACAGTAAAATGAGTGAGACACATCAGTAAACTTTGGTTGACTCTCCAACTTTGCTAACCAGTCAAACAGGAACACAGAATGAAAGTGAGACATGGAAACAGGGAGTTCCAAGGAAGTAACAACACACTAGTACTTTTGACACAGACACATAGACAAGAGCGCTCATGCATCTCATCCGCTGGTGGAAGATTACCACTTGGTTCAAATGTTCACGTACTTTTTGGACAAATACATGGCGAAGAGCTCACACACAAAATAACCTTTTAGTTGCAGAAAATGCAGTGCATTGCGCTGTGTCCATCCCTTTGAAAAGCGGCTTGAAACTTGTGAAGTCGTCACACGAAAATTTACTTCTTTGGTTCGGTTGAGGTCATCAAATTCCTTGGATATTCTTCTTTCGGACACAAGCGTCTGGTGTAACTGTTGTTGATGCCCCTCGGATGCCATCATTTAAACTGGAACAGGACTAGAATTTTGCTCTGACAGAGGATCCTCAGTCCATCAGCTCCATAATGCCTCCCTCTTCACTACCAGCCTTGAATTGATCTTCGATGCGCATATTATACTGGCACGGTCGTACCATGAAGTTGCTCTACTGTCCTCTACCCCGTGACTCCACCCTCTTCTTTAACTCCTCAATGGTGAACATCATTTCGGAGTCCAGTCCTCCTGCAAACTGCCAAGCAATAACCAGAACTATATCAGGTATGCTCGAGGCTTCTTCTGATTCGACTACAGAGAAAAACTGAACTTTCCGGTCATGAATAAATTGTTTCCTTCATGTAATGTCTTGCCGATATCTTCTCAAAAAATAATTGTGTGGCCATGTTTGATCTCATAAATCATGAGAATTTTACCAAGCAGGACTTGGAAAGAATCACCTTTTTGCATGGTTAAAAAGAAAAATGTCTTCTTTTATTATCCTACATTGTATATATTAACCTAAACTGTGGCCTAGGATTGGTGAGAATTATTCTCAGATAATTGCAGTCCAATGACTTGCCTGGTGTGCTCTGTAAGCAAAACGCACCCCCTGAAAGAGAAGTGCCTTTTGTGCCATCTCCTTTTCTGAAGGCCGAACTGATTCAAGCTCCATTG